AGGGCTTTTGTTTGGAGCTCGGCGCCTCGGGCTGAGCTCGGCCGCTCCTTCCCCACCCGCAGCGCACAGTGCAGAAGAATGCCAAGTACATCTGCCTGGCCAACAAGGATTGCCCTGTGGACAAGCGGCGCAGGAACCGCTGCCAGTTCTGCCGCTTCCAGAAGTGCCTGGCCGTCGGAATGGTCAAAGAAGGTACCGGGGTCCCAGCCCGGGTGGGGGGTACCCGGCAGGAGTGGGGAGACCCCACCCCGCAGCCTTTCTGGCTGCCCTGAGGACAGACACTCATTGCAAGTCCCAACCACAGTGGTCCGGACTGACAGCCTGAAGGGGCGGCGGGGCCGTCTCCCCTCCAAGCCCAAACAGCCGCCAGATGCGTCCCCGGTCAGCCTCATCACCTCGCTGGTGCGGGCACACATCGACTCCATCCCCAGTGCCACCAAGCTCGACTACTCCAAGGTAGGGCTGGTGCCACTCCATGCCCTGCCCAGGGCCATGCCAGGGCTGGGGCTGGATCCTCACCTATCCCCATCCCAATTCCTCACCCATCCTGGATCCTGATCCTGTCCCCATCCCAGATCCTGATCCAACACTGTCCCTGTTCCTGACCCATCCCCATCCCAGTTCCTTGCCCATCCCCATCCCAGATCCTGATCCTGTCCCCATCCCAGATCCTGATCCAACACTGTCCCTGTCCCTGTTCCTGACCCAACCTTTTGTCAGTTCCTGACCTGTCCCCATTCCAGATCCTGATCCCATCCCAGTTCCACACCCATCTTCATCCCAGATCCTGATCCTGTCCCCATCCCTCATCCTGATCCCATCCTAATTCCTGATCCATCCCTGTCCCAGTTCCTGACCCATCCCCGTCCCAGTTCTTCACCCATGCCCATCCCAATCCTGACCCATCCTTATCCCAGTTCCAGGAGTCAGCACCGTGCCCGTTTGAGAAGGAGGACTCAGTGGACGTGCAGCAGTTCTATGACCTGCTCACCGGCTCCATGGACATCATCCGCAAGTGGGCCGAGAAGATCCAGGGGTTCACCGAGCTGCCCAAGGAGGACCAGGACCTCCTGCTGGAGTCAGCCTTCCTGGAGCTCTTCATCCTGCGCCTGGCGTACCGGTGAGCCCTGGGGCAGCGCGGAGCAGGGGGAGCCCGAGGTGTGCCGGGGAGTGACACCCGGATTTCTGCCGGCAGCTCCAAGCCAGAGGAAGGGAAACTCATCTTCTGCAACGGGGTGGTGCTGCACCGGCAGCAGTGCGTGCGTGGCTTCGGAGAGTGGATTGACGCCATCCTCGAGTTCTCCCAGAGCCTTCACCGCATGAGCGTCGATGTCCCCTCCTTCTCCTGCCTCGCTGCCCTCGTCATCATCACAGGTGAGACCCCCCCAGCTCCAGGCCCATCACTGTCCCCATCCCCACCCTGTGTCTGTCACTGCCGTCCCACACCCTGCGTGTAACCCCAGACCGGCACGGGCTGAAGGAGCCCAAGCGGGTGGAGGAGCTGCAGAACCGCATCGTGGGCTGCCTCAAGGACCACGTGGCAGCAGCAGGGGCCGAGCCCGGCCGCTCCAGCTGCCTCTCCAAGCTGCTGGGGAAGCTGCCGGAGCTGCGCAGCCTCTGCACCCAGGGCCTCCAGCGCATTTTCTACCTCAAGCTGGAGGACCTTGTGCCACCACCACCCATCGTCGACAAGATCTTCATGGACACTCTGCCTTTCTGAGTCCCAGGCAAGGGGCTGCCATGAGCCCCTGACCCGCCTGGGGACATCTGGGACCCGCCCAGGGCAGCCCTGGTTCAGTCCGAGGATGCCTGGGAACCCTCTGGGCACCTCTGGGTCACCCCTGGGATGCCTGGAACATCCCCTGGGTATCAACCCTGGGATGTTTGGCACCCCTCCAGGGTGACCCTCAGAATGCCCAGAAACCACCTGGGCATCCCTGGATCGCTCCCAGGATGCCTGGAACCTGCCCTGGTCACTCCTGGATCACTCCTGGGATGCTCAGGACCACCCTGTGGACTCCTGAATGACCTCTGGGACACCTGGGACCCCCTCCAGGCCATCCCCAAGACTCTACGTACACCCCTGGATCACCCCCAGAACACCTGGAACCCTCTCTTGAATCACCCAGAATGCCTGGGACCTCCCTCTTTGGGTCACCCCCAAAACTCCAGGGTCCCTGCTAGGCACCTCTGGATCACCCCGATAGCTTGGACCACCCCCCCTGCCCGGGTCACCCACAGGATGCCTGGGACCCCCTGGGCACCCCTCCATTGCTCCTGGGATGCCTGGGACCACCTCTGCATCACTCCAGGGATGCCTGGGATCCCCTCTGGAAATCTGGGTCCCCCCTCAGATGCCTGAGTCTTCTTGAGGGCACCCTTGGGGTGCCCCGTGTGCCTTCACGGCCCAGGGCGCAGCCACACAGCGGCCCCGGTGCCGTCTTCCCCGGGGGCATCGCCAGAGCGGTGCCCCCTTCCCCTGTAAAAATGCCCCTGATGTAAATAGCGCCGGCCGGGTCCTGTACAGAGTGGGGGGCGCGGGCGAGAGGCGGCTCCGGCCCCTTCAACCTCGGCCCCTTCCCCTTTATATATATTTTTCTGAGTTTCCGTCTTTTTGGCCATTTTCTGTATATAAACTTGTACGTACAGTGAGAGCTGCTGGGTGGGACCTTTGTCCCTCGTGTTCCCCTGTAGTCAATATTCGGGGATTGGGGGACAGAGTAACGGGGCTGGGGACAGCTGGGACGCTGGAGACCGGGAAAAACGGGATGCTGGAGCTGGGGAGAGTGGGGATGTTGGAGCTGGGGGCAGCCAGAACTCCGGGAAGGGGAGAGCCGGAGGGCTGGAGCTGGGAACAAGCAGGACACTGGAGCTGGGACAGCCGGAGCTGGGGACCAGAGCTGGTGACAGCCGGGGCTCGGACAGGGTTGGTGTCAGAGCTGGGGGCAGCTGCGACACTTGGGCTTGGTAAAAACAGAACTCTGGAGCTGGGGAAAAAACAGTTCACTGGAGCTGGGACAGCCGGGGCGATGGAGCCGGGGACAGCTGGAGCTCCAGAGCCGGGATGCCAGAGCTGTGGACAGCCGGGCCGGTGGATCTGGGGACAGCTGGGGCACCGGAGCCAGCGACAGCCGGGATGCCAAAGCCGGGGACAGCCGGGGCTCCAGAGCCGGGGACAGCTGGGGCTCCAGAGCTGGGGACAGCCGGGGCTCTAGAGCCGGGGACAGCC